TCGGTCAATAGCCGGACAGGATTAGTAACATTACCGGACAGGAGTTAGAAATCCGGACACAATCGAATCCGGTTATGTATTCTGCAGTTAGCTTATAATTAAAAACTTTACACGAAAATAAATGAGCTACAACACTACCAGACATTCCATAAAATGCCAACGTCGGTAGGTTAGTTAGAATTAGGGTTAGGTGTGTCTAAAACCCTTCTTTACGTTGCTAGAGACCGCTTTACAGGGGTTTGGTCCAGCCAGGTCGTTTTTTTACATATTTTTTGCAATTTAGAAAAAAATATATATAATATGCATTCATAACATAAAACCCACTGAAATACAATAATAACGCCAACGCACTATAATAGATAAAAAATGAAAAAAAATTGGTGATGCTCGTAAAACAGCGTGAAGCTTGGATGAAGTAACGACCGGAAACAATTAACCTATCAATCCTGGACATGTTTATAGAACATTGTTTAAGGATCGAAAAAAACTAACCATTTTTTAATTTAATTTTCTAATTTTAACCCCATTGTTAGCTGACATTCGATTGATTAGTATGTATCAAGATGATATTATCTAATTAACCTTTATCTAATTTTGAGAATAAAATATTTTGCGCCATTTCATAATCTATCATTGTACCGTTCGAATATTCTGCAGATCGTTGTCATAAATGCTGCGAATTGATGGATTTAATTCAATTTTAATATCCCAAACAGGGTTCTATTCGCTGCCTACTACCCCTCTGATGCACACCTATCTCAACCTCGGCGGAGGAGACCCTCGCTGGCCCGATGTTGATATCTACATGACACCACTTGTGGGCGTAGGACTGCCATACTACACCAATGAGGTTTGTTTGTTAATTTCACTTCAATTGGTCAACCTATTGAGGAATTTTATCCCAGGAACGAAGGATAGCCATGCTTAGGTCACTCACAGATTAGAACTGGCGCTCATTTTGGTAAACATCTCTCGCCATGATGCCCCGTATGTGTTCTATGGGGTTGAGGTCAGGATTAAGCGCTGGTCACGGCAAAAGAGTAATATTCTGCTCTTTGAACCACTTGTTTGGTGACTTTGAGGTGTGAATCGAAGCATTGTCTTGCTGGAAAACATGTGATCCCTCATGTTTCTCATCGGCAAAAGGGAGAAGATGGAGAAACATCGTGTGCTTGTATGCCTCGGAATCTTGTCTCCCTTGTAAATNATTTTCTGCTACTTTTGCTGTGAATTCAGTTGCTATAGTTTAATTTTAATTGCTGCTATTAGAGTTTCAGTTAAGTACAGAACTTGAATCCAACTTACATTTAATCGATCGTTCTGTCCAACGTGCATCAAATAGCTATGGAATGAGTGAAATTGAAACAATTAATGTAATTGTCGTAATTAATGTGATTGCATCCCAGCACCATTAATCTAAGTAGAAAAATCCTAATAATAGACAAAAAATATCATTGCCGTGTTGAGATGTCATGAATGTAACTCGATCTATAATATTATTCCTATTATACCGGTGATTGCTTCTCATTCAGAAAAGGCAGGGTTTTTGAAAAACTGAATACGGGATTCGGAAAATGCACTGAAATACGGAAAATACACTGAAACCACCTAAGCACTTCCCTAAAACTTTCTCTTCGTGCAGATATTGCATTGATTGATCGGGTGCAAGTTTACATTTATTCAACTATTTATAAAAACTTTTGTTTCATTTATAGACTTTTTGTGTGGAAAAAATTGTTCACTTCCCGCAACTATCAACATGGCGTTAACTGAAATCTTTTCTCGACGAGAAACGAGGATTCTAGTTTTCATAGCAATTGTGGCTTGTGGAATCGCTGCAGTAGAGTCTTTTTTCTGGTAAGTGCGGTATTTTTCTATAAAATGCTTGTATTTAACATGAAATTTTTATTGAATAAACGTCAAACCTTAAAAAACTAGCAAAATTCCGTGAGGCATTTTATTTTGACCGATAAGGAAGAACGTATAGCAGACACAAGGTGCAATTTATTGAATCATTTATTGAGGATTGGGATATTGTCGTAAAATTTACTTGTTCGTGACTGTAATTTGTGGTGTTCTAAAGCACCTACGGCATATGAATTACTGGAAAGCGGGTAATCCCTAATGAAGACTCGGTAGTTGCATTTCTGCATCGCCTGTAAATTTCACCGTGTTAAAATTTTTTCAAAATTGTTTTTCATAATCATCGATCTCATTTGTGTTTAGTTGTTTCACATATTTCAATTCCTACTTCAATGTGCGTAAGCTGTACATATCTGAGTTCGAATAATAATGTCCTCAATTGTTTCTGGCGAGAAGTTTAGATCTGCTACTTGAGTCACCGCTGCTGAAGGCAATGGTGCTGAAGGCGTTACGGTTTTTCCTGAGCCTGACCTTCACTGCCGGGCCTCAGGACTTCGACTCTGACCTCCCAGCGACAGGCGCCTACGACTTCATCGTCGGTGAGCAAAAACAAATTTTTTTCTTACCCCCAAAAAATTAATATAGGTTTTGATATGGGCCAGAACTTCGCCATTAATGCACGGCTCAATTAGAACTTATTACAAGCATAAATCGGAATGTGCAATTTTCACCTGAAACTTTTGTTGAAATGTCAGATAATTGGTCTATTTAGAGACATAATTGGTCTATTATTAATTGGTCTATTTATTGGTCTATTTCATAATTAATTTCAAAATTTTCATAATTTCAAAATTAATTTCATAATTGGTTTATTATTATAATTGGTCTATTTAGAGACGTAATTTGTTAACATATTGCAATAGTGAAGTTTTCGTATATAAATCACACCAGCTTTGCTCTGATTAGCTAATTAGAAAAAATGCTTCTTAATTGATACCTTTTATTTTATGGAAGATCGAACAGCAGCACCAAACCTGTTAGCAATAAACCTGTTATTTAACCTGGAATTTCTTTTATTGTTAAATTACATTGAACTTTATTCACCTAGCTGTTGTCATTTTTTTGCAAACTGGTAGTTTATGTTCAATATATCATCGGCTGCTATATATCGTTCCTTTTATATCAATGTTAAAAAACATATTTCCGTCATCTAATTTCGTTGCAAATTTGAAGACCATATACCCAATTAGAAATTTACGTCAAAATATGTAGCAACAGACGCCAACCTGTTGTCGCGAGGTTGCAGTCCACTTTTCGAAGGCCGCCGTTAAAAAGTAAGCGGTCTCGCTGGCTTTACAGTGGCCTATAGATAACCGTGAAAAAAAAAACAGTGCGAACTTTTATGGTGATTTTACTTCTGTATTTTTAATGGTGATTCCTATGCAGTTTAGATCAGATTTGATGTCAGAAGGCTGCAATAAATCAATCTAGAACTTGAAAAATGTGAAAAATAGGTTTAAATATTTATCAGAGATTCAGATTATTCAGAGTTTTACCATAAATATAATCTCGTCAGTTGGTGCGGGCGCCGCGGGATGCGTGGTAGCGTCGCGCCTCTCGGAAACCAGCGCCAGCGTGCAACTGACAGTTCTATCTTCATTCTATAATTATTAAATAAAATACCACTCAAATTATTCAATCGATATATATAAAATATCACTCAACTTCCATGTAAATAATCCCGTCAGTTGGTGCGGGCGCCGCGGGATGCGTGGTAGCGTCGCGCCTCTCGGAGACCAGCGCCCGGGTGCTGCTGCTGGAGGAAGGGAGGTCGGCTCGCCCAAAAAGCAAAGGATATGTAGCGATCACATCAGCAGATCCCGCCGATTTTCCTTTCATCAACCACAACTTCTACGATCATCCAGACGACGTTAAACTGCATGTGAAAGGTTTGTATCGTAGTAACGCCACAGTTAGGGGGATTCTGAATAATTTTATGCCGGAAGGTCACGACACAGATGAAGGAGAGGTACCAATCAAATTGTAGGTACCAAACTAAAAGATTTACTGCCATGGAAAAAACCGCTCATTAACCAATCGATGTGACATCTCCAAGTATTTTTACGTTGACGTGAATAGTTCAGAGCAAAATTAACGCAGAAGAAGCTAGTGATACATTAATTCTGATGTTGTGCATTTTAACTGTGTTTTCATTCAACCAACAATATGTGACAATTAACTCTGCACAGGACGAAAAATCTTAAATCACAAATTGTTGAAAAACTTTTATCATTTGTTACTGCGGCTCTTTCTTTTACAAAAGATTTCGATGCGAGGTACTTGAACAACCTCGTACTCTTAGCGTATGTAGTTAATATCAAAATGATAATATAGCACATAAATAGCTATGCTCACACCTCTCTGTGGCTACTGTTAAAAAATATTTTGATTTGACATCATACAAGCCGATTTATCTGCATGTGGTGTTGTGTCATGTATGTATTTTAAATCAACAATTCACGTTTAGTTTCTTTTCCCAAGGCGTCAAAGAGTTGAATCGCATCATGAATTCCGAGGGAATGAGGAAAATACTGGCACCGCAACCGGATTTGGTAAGCTAATGAAATATGAAGTCCCATTATTTTATATTAAATAAATGAGGGTGTGATCGGTCAGTGCCGCAGGTATATATTGCAGAGAGATACTCTGCTGTCATAGACACTGTGTCAGAAATAAATCTATTCTTGATTTATTTCCTTCATTATTTGGCCCTCTTAAATACAATGTTATAGGCGCACTTGTAGGTGCCTCTGAGCCAACACTCTGATAAAAGTATGCGTGTATATATTTTTAAAACGAGAGTACAAATAATGAATGCAAACATGAAAAATACGTATGGCGGGAATCGTCTAGTATGCTATCTAAAAATATTTTAACGAGCTTTTAGTGCAATATTATAATAAATTTGCAACTTATGATTATTTTATTTCACAGACGTTAAAGGCGTGCGAGCATTTAGGCAGCAAGACCGACGGCTACTGGGAGTGCTACGCCCGCCACATGGCGCTGCCCAACGAGCACTTCTGCTGCACCGCAAAAATGGCACCGCCGACCGACCCAATGGGCGTTGTGTCCCCCAGGCTCAGGTGAATAAATATCGATTGAGTATAAATTTTATGTATTTTGGAGGCCATAAACTGGCAGCCAGAGACAAGTGATGCAAGACAGCGGCTAAGATTGATGCAAGACAACGGCTATGATCATCCCTCAACTACCCCAACATACTCTATAAAAAAATTCCTTGGTTGCCCGAAACTGAAATTCCAATCAAAGTTTAGATGCCTGAATTCTGCCGTACGGTACATCGGCCACCTAAATCGTTTCCACCCCTGTAGACTTCGCCCTCATGAATGCGTAAGAATTAGAAGAATAAAAATTTCAGACTAGAAGATCCCGCTGGCGTCACTGTCCTACAATTCATACAAATTCTAAAAATCAGGATAAGCTACAGCATGGCGTCAACGATAGGCTTCCACAAAAAAGCTGTAATATAGCGCCAACACTGTTTGCTAAATGAAGAATCAAAATATTAGGCAACAACACGGACGGCTATTGGGAGAGCTTTAGAGCTTTCAATGAACAACAACTCAGCTCTCAACCACAATACAGATATGGAGAGAGAAGTTTGACCGTTTAGACGGGCACCCGACCACACATTCAAGCTTGTCGTCAGTCTTGCATGAACACAAAGGTCTCGCCCATCAGCTTTTCCAGGTTTTTCGAACTTCAAAACCATCTTTCAAAACATCAAACTTAGCGTCCACATGCACAGTCTTGCATGTCAAACTTGGCATGACATGAAAGACTATCGATAAGTTTGAACGTGTGGACGGGGCTTTACTCACCGAAACACTCGGAAGCAAGGTGCACTTAATTCAAAAACTACAAAAGTCGTCTGACTCAACCACTACCATTCCTCCCAAGAACATTTCAAACCATCTGAAAGATAGCAACATCCATCAGATATGCACTTATATATTATATACGTGTGTCCACCATATCAGATGAAAACAGTAGGGTTCGCTTCTAAACTATCTTGAATAGCTTCTCCAACCACGACACCACCAAACACTCACTATACAAAGTCTTTGCAGATATTGTGATCATTATTATCGTCATCATCATGACCGTCATCTTTAAAAAGAATAAAAAATTTTAAAATCCTCTAAGCAAATATCGACTCTAATTTAAAACTTTATTTTTAGTATTTTAAAATGGATTAGGGATGCAAAAATTAACTCATCGCTCCTCCACATAAATCCTTCAAAGTCCTGACGGTTTTATCTCCCTCCTCAACACCAACCTTAACTCAGCCCTCAAAACAATTACAGTATGTACCTACCACATTCATTCCTTTCCTCCTGTAATTTTTCCCCCTCTTTGTTGTCACTCCATGTCACTTATTCATTTATTTCCTTTTCTTTATCTAATGAGACCGCATACACAAGCAATACAATTCACTTTGACCCTTTGTCACATTAAAGCAAGTATTATACATTAATTTGATAAAAAAAAGATGCATGTCTTGAAATTTTCCTACTTCATCAATGTTTGTGTAATAAACCCTAAATAAATATAAATGAACCCTAAATAAAAATAAATATGCCCTAAATGAAACTAACTAAAATTCTCTTTACCTTCAGCGTGCGGGGAGTGTCAGGCCTTCGTGTCGTGGACGCCTCTGTGATGCCGGAGGTGGTCTCAACCAACCCCATGGCCACCGTTTACGTCATTGCCGAGAAAGCCTCCGACATCATCAAGCAGGATTGGTCACTTGAAAACACGAAAACAGCTCTAAAATAATAAAATGCTATTCAAAAACTGTTGCACACCAACTCAATGTTATTATCCAGTAACCAAGGATAAATTTCCTCATTCCAAAGAGTCATTACGTAAAAATGTGATTCTTGAAGTAAAATCGTTTTGGAAAAAATCCAAAGGCCGAGATAACATAACATATAACATAACATAGTGGTGTTGGAGCTGAAGAGTAGGCCTGATGTGGCCTATCGTCGATTCTTGTAACTTCCANCTAAACTTTCAAAAAAAGTTAAGAGATCGTAAGTTCATCAGCCAATCATTGACGGCCTTTCAAGCAAATCCGCCAATCATAGACAAGAAAATAGAGCGTAAGTACTTACGTTCACATAGCGAGTTTTGAAAGTATGGTCCCAGAGCATCGGCTATTATTTCAGGCCAATTATGACGGATTTGAGTATTTTAGAAACTTGGACAGTAAAATGTACAGGCAACGGCGAGACAAACACGAAAAAATCATGTAAATCATTTCCTTACTGATGAGGTACTTTCTCAAGGGTATATTTAACAATATACTCTAATTTCATTTATAAATTTGCAAAATATCTGTTAGAATCCAAATAATTATCGGTAATAATTAGCGCTCCGCACAAAGCTTGGTCCTCACTTTCAGGCAATACGAACCCGATCTTATCGACCAGCTCACCTGCCGGCAGTTCACCATCATTGCACCTCACCTGCCTCACCATCATCAAATAACTCAGAAAGGATTTTGTTTAAAATCCAGACTGCTCGGAATAACTGAAAATTTAAATTTTAATGTTATTTTTCAGTATTAGATATGTTATTACATCATTGTAACTTAACCTATACTAGCACCGCCTAATTTTTCAGGATTGGATAT